ATAACACAAAAACTGATGTAATAGAATGTTAATAAATTATTTTTATTATATAATATAAATTTTCTAATTTTTTATAATTATATACCCTCAGAATTTATTTTTACAATTATAAGGCTTGAATAACTTCGTACTTTCTTTTGTTAATTAAACGTTTTATGACTTTTTACCTGTAGAAATTATTTCTGTTATAGACAACCTTGCCAGAAATATTATCCTATTTTCCAGCTGGTTCTTCTACACAAGCATTCATTCATTATTACCAAAATTTACGTATAAGTGAGTATACTCACTTCCATAATAAAAGTATTCCCTTTCATAAAGCACTGGTCCCGTTAATGTAATGTTACAGTAAAACATTGGTTACCATTTTGAATCGTTGAATCGTGGGAAGATTTAAATTAATTTATAATTTTCTGCAGATTAATTTACACACATGTGATTACTTAACTTTTTTTTTCAAATGTACTGCTAAGTTTTGGATCTTTATAAATCATAGCGATTGTTGCAGATGAGTTTCGAATGTATGATTATGGCGTGGCTGAAAATTATAAGCGATACAAACAGAAAAAACCCTCGAGTTATGATCTTAAAAAGATTACAGCCCCGACAGTTTTAATTTACTCAGATAATGATAATCTTGTTCCAGAAGAGGTAATAGTTTTCACTTACCAGATTTTTACTCACTAATAAGAGCAAAGGAAAAATTTTTATCAGTACGACAAAATGTACAATGCAAAATGTAAAAGAAAAACCATTGGTTTATATCAATTTGATGATCTGTTTTCTATATTCTTCATATATTTAAATTATCTCGTTATTAATATTGTTGCTTTCTTCATCTTTTTACTTTTAGAATGTGCTGGAACTTGGCAAACGTTTACCAAATGTTCTTCTAATGGAGAAAGTTCCACATAAACTTTTCAATCACGCTGATTATGTGATCGCAATTGATGTGAAAACTCTTCTATATGATCGTGTGTTAGATCTAATACAAAAGTTTGATGTTAAACAAAATAAATTTCTGAAATGAATCTAATTAATGAATACAAATGAAAAGAAAAGTAGTCTTACCTTTCGTATAGAAATTGGAAAGTTGATAAACGTAGAAGTGTTAACAAAATTAATAATTTACATACATGCCTGTGTATTTTTTTAAATTATAATGCTAATATAAAATTTTTAATTATTACGTTAACCTGGTTTAATAATTATATTATTTATTAAAATATTGTTTATTAAAAACAACAGAAAAATTCTATGTCAGACATTTCGGTCACTAAATGTGTGACCCTTTTCAATAACTATTTATTAAGAATTTAAAAAATATTGTATAAAATATTGGCCATCAAGACGAGAAAACCGAGTTCACAAAGATAGAATAGCTTTTGCGTCCAATAACAATTTATTGTATATTGCATAAATTATAAAGTCTGTAATGCATCGTATATCGGATAGCCTGGCAGATTATTGTCAACCCGTATCAACGAACATAAAAGATTAAACTCTGCTAATCCGTCTGTTATACATGCACATTGCATACATTGTTTCGACGTCGATCGACGAGTCATTTATGACTATTTATGAATGCTAATGCGGGAAAAATTTTTTACCGAGTACTTGCATCACTATTGCTTGGCTATTCTACTGTACAGGTGTTACTTTATTTAGAACATAATTATTACAGTTGTAAAAAATATGCAGTTACAGTAAAACCTCTTTTATCCGAGGTAATGTGGGGAGGGGGTACCTCGGACAAGCGAAAACTCGGATAACACGGAAGAAACACAAAATTCGAAAACTTTTATTATTTTTTATATATTTAAAATGCTAGAATGGAATTTAACCCCATGAACATATAGAAGTAAAAATTTAACGAACGTAGATTAAAATTTATGCTTGTTTAAGCAAAAAGTATGTTGCAATCGCAAACTACTCCGCGCATACAGCATAGCGGCGTCATCCGTTTTATCCCATAGACTTC